CATCTCTGGAAGGTTTCTGCAGTAACCCCAGGTCTTATTTGTCTTTCCACCGGCCCTAGCTGAGCTCAAGTTATAAAAGGGATCCTCCAAGTTATTTGTTTCTGTGCCCCCAAATTGGCTTTTTTGTTCATGTCAAGCCATGGTTCCCTGGCACTTGAACTTGAACTGGGCTCAGATGTTGACTTGGGTACAAGATGAGTGCAATACACAAAGGTGTACCCCACTCTAAATGTGCTGAGTCCTAAAATCAAGGCTGCAGTTCCCAAGGGAGAACTCTAGGGAGAGGAGGAAAATAAGAATTCCAATTAGCGAGTTGAAAAGAGAAACAGTAGCTAGCATTTCCTGAATTGTATGCACTCTGCGAAGTTCTTGACAGATGTCCCATCAAATTTTCACAATTATCTTATGAAGTAAGGAGTATTATTATTTTTATACAGTGAATAAATGGAAGTCCAGAGAAGATCTCTCTGGCCAGAGATCACACAGCCTGGATCCAAACCTAGGGCTTGTAGTACATCAGGCAGCCTTCTTCTGAATGGGCCCTGAAGGATGGGAAAACTTTATCCCCAACAGTTTGTTATAAAAAAAATACTAGACATACAGAAGAGTCAAAATAATTTTGGAGTAAGCACTTACCCTTGATGTTTTTCTTTATCTGCTTTCTAATTTATTCCTGTTTCTCCATGAGTCCACCTTATTTTTTCTGCTGCATTTTAAAGAAAGTTCTGGACACCCCAGAATATTTAGCACATGTATCATTAACTAGAGTTCAGTATTTCTTTATGCTTCTTTTTTATTGTTTTGGTGTAAAATTTACATATGATAAAATGTAAATATACCTAGCTAAATGTACCAGCTGAACTTCATATAAATGGATACATATCATATGTATTTTTTGGCATCTGGCTCCTTTCTCTCAGCAGTGTTTTTGAGGTTTATACATGGGATGGTGTGTATCAGTGGTTCCTGTTTGTTGAATATTTTTCTGCTATGTGAGGTACCACTGTCTGTTCATTCTCTGATTGATGGATGTCTGGACCAGTTTGGGGCTATTATGAATAAATCTGATATGAACACTCAAGGAGAGGTCTTTTCATGGGCATACTTTTGCCTTTCTTTTGGGTACATACCTATGAGTGAAATGGCTCAGCCATGGGGCAGGTGTATATGAAAGTTGACTTGAAAAGACTGCCTTTTTTCGAAGTGGTCGTACCAATTTACATTCTCACTAATAAAGCGTGAGCGTTCTGTATACTTCCCATCCTTGCCAACATGTGATGTTATCAGTCTTTTTAATTTTAGCCATCCTAGTGGTTGTGTCGTGGTATCTTATTGTGGTTTTAATTTGCATTTCCTTAATGACTAATGATGTCGAGCACTTTTTACCTGCTTCCTGGCCATGTCTTCTTCTTTGAAGCATCCTCAAAGCCCCTTTAAAAAATTAATTTGTGTGATCTCTATTAGATACCTGCTTTGCAAATATTTGCTCCCAGCCTGTAGTTTGAGTCTTCAGTTTTGTGGGGTTTTTTTTTTTTTTGAGTCTTCATTTTCTTCATGAGGTGTTTTCATGGGCACAAGTTTCAATGTTGATATGACTAACTTATCCATCTTTTCCTTTATGGTTCTTGCTTTCTGTGTCTCGTCTAATAAATGTTTGCCTACCTGTTGAGAGGAAGTCACAGAGAATCTGAAGGTACTGCAGGTGGATAGAATAGCTGGAGCCTGAGTGTCAAGTGGGGATGTGCAGGTTTTGCAGGGGTGGTGGACAGCAGCCTCCTTCTGTGGGTGGGGGCTCCAAATAGGAATGCCTTCAGTATTAGGGACTGGATTGGACTCTTCCGGCAGTGGGGGCCATTGAGGGTTTTAGAGCAGGGCAGGGACATGACCACAAAAGGAGAGATGACACAGTCCCTTTGGTGCTGGAGCCTGGGGCAGAGTTTCTACTTGGTTACCCTGAAAGCAGCAGCCTGTCCCTCAAGGAGCAGGTGGGACTGCTGGGGGCTGGGGATAGGGGATTGGGTTCATCTCTGTGGGCCCAGAGGCCAGCCAGTCCCCACCACATCTTAACCAGTCCATTTCTTCTTGCCAAGAAAGCCCAGGGGCTGGTGAGAGCAAGTTGCTAGCTGGAAGCCCAGGGAAGGTGCTTACATATGTGGATTTGGAGCCAACCCTCCCAGTAGATCCAGAATCCTTAGAGGGACCCTCCCCCACCAACCCTGGTCCCTGACCTCACCTTCTCCCACCCTCACCCTTCTACCTCCTGCCACCCCCAGGCTTCCTCATGGTTCCTTCTGGACCAGGCAGCTCAAGCCTGCTGCTCGAGGCCTTTGCTGCCCCTGAGTCTGGAATCTTTTCCCCAGCTGTCTGCATCCAGATGTTACTCAGTCTTTTCAATGAGGGCTCCCCTGACCCCAGCCCTTTGCTTGCCGGGCTGGTGCTCAGCACCATCTAACACCCCAGGGCACCCCTTCACCGTGTCTGTGGCTTGACTCCTCTCCCAAAGATGAGGGGTTTTTCTCCTTTTTAAGCTATTTTGTTCTCTGTTCTAACCCCATGCCTGGAACAATATCTGGTGCTTTCAGGCCCTCAGACAATATTCATAGTATAAATGAATTCAAGGCGAACTTTCTCATTTTTTTCAAAGCTTGTTTATCTTGGTTCCACAAGAGAAAATGGGGACCCTTGTCCCAAAAGTCCAGGTCCTACCTAGGCTACCTGGCAAATAGAGGAGTCTTCCAGGCTACTTCTCCTCATTGTACAGATGCAGATACTGAGGCCCTAAGAGGGAATGGATGTGCTCACAGACTTCACTAAGCAACCTAAGCCTAGTTAGTGGCAGAGAAGAAATGGGAGCCAATTGCTCTCACTCCAGTGGCTGTTAGAGTCCTAATTGGCCTCTGAGGGGAAGCCTGGGGCCAAGCAAGAAGATTTTAGGATGACTATAAAGCCTTTTGGTGCCAGAAGATATTTTTGTGCTTCTAAGGAAGGCTAGAAGAACCTAGAAGACCAAGAGTGTGTATTTCTGGGTGATTCTGTCCTCCACTGTCTTTACTGCTTTCCCAGAGGAGATGTGGACCATACTTCAGGGCCTGGGAAGAGGTCGTGTTTGTATGAGCTGGGCCGCCCTGCCCTCAAACTCGAAATGAGACCCAATTCCACAGCCTATAGATGCCCTCCAGCTGCCCCTCCCAGCCCCATGACGCCTTGCAGCTGCCTCGACACTGCTGTTGGCGTGGTGACCTGGCACACTCTTGTGTGGACCCAGAGGAGAAATTTATAAGAACCCCCAACACACGCAACTTCCAGGGAGGGAGGGCTTCTAGAAGGATTTAGGAGTGAGGAGCATCAGAAGAGGGAATTTTTAGCACACTAATGTTGCTGGATCTCTCACTATATATATCTTTCTAGTCTGGTCTCTGCAAAACCCAACGCAGCTGGACCTGTTTAACCCCACCTTCCCAGCCTCCCCACCACCCAGAGAACTGCCAGGACCCCCGCCCTCCCCTCTAGGGAATGCTGTTCCCTCATCAGGACTCCTGGGTCCCCCATGTCCTCTGACCTCAGCAAATTGGTTCCACTTTTCTGTTCCTCTTGCAGGGCTCATTCTGGCTTCATCCTGCCCCACCCTCAGGCAGCTCCTTAATAGCAAATGCCAACCTGATCTCTGGTGCAACATCTCAGGGATACAGGATGAAGGAGGGGCACCAGCTGCATCTTCCTGGTTTTGTCACTACCCCTTTCTATCTGATTAAGGTTTTCACCCATGAGAAGTCCCTGGTGGTCTGGTGGTTAGGACTCCATGCTTCTACTGAAGGGAGCACAGGTTTGATCCCTGGTCAGGGCGCAGCTAGAAAACAAACAAAAACAACAACCACAGTGAAAAAGGTTTTCACCCCTGCAGATACCCGGAGAGATTTTGTTCCTTGGGTAGCAGGCAGACAGACCACGCAGCGTCCACCCCACCCCCGACTCAGAATTTGAGGCACCAAGATGCTGTTCCTCCTTTTCTGGAATCAAAACTCACGTACGTGTGTGTGTGTGTGTAGGGGGTCAGGTGGAGGGGGCGTGTTGGGGAGAGTCTGGAATCTCTTAGGTCGGTCCTCTACTTGTCCTGCCATTTCTCAGGCCTGTGATACTCCTCCTTTCCCGGGGACCCTGACCTGTTACATCCTCATCCTGGGCGTTGACTGGGAGAGACACAAGGAAACCTGGAAATGTCTGTATCAGCACATCTAACCGAAATACAATGCAAGCCCTTTATGTAGTTTTACATTTTCTGGTAGTTACACTAAAAAAGGAAAAATAAATAGGGTGAAATTAATTTTAATAATGTTCTATCTCAGTATGTCCAAAAAGATCTTTTCAATACACAATCAATGTAAAATATTATTAATGAACTATTTTCTGGTCTTTTTTTTTTCATACCATGTCTTTGAAATCCTGTGTATATTTTACACTTACAGTGGGTCTCAATTCAGACAACTCACTCTTAAGAGTTGAAATGACTAGTGTCTATCATATTGGACAGCACAACTCTCTGTCTTGATCTGGGTGATGGTTACGTGGGTGCAGACATATGTAAAAGTTTGTCTAACTGTAAAGACTAGTGCATTTTACTGTGTGTAAATTACACTTCAGTTAAGAAGTTGTGGGGTTTTTTTGGTAATTCTCTTCAGGTCTCTGCTCAAATGCCATTGTTTTCCTGAACCCACCCTGGGTTGGAATTAGCTCCTTCATTGCACTCTCCTCCTGCTATATTTATTCTGATCTTGTACTACAGCTGGTTGTTTCTGTGTATGTCTTACTCATTTTAAGTGCCTTAAGGTGAAGATCAAGCCTTAAGGCTTGTCCATTTTTTAATTGCCAAAAGGCCCTGGCTATGCAGATGCTGAATAAGCAAGCATGATTTATTCAGTCCAATAAGAACTGAATCCCCATTTGTTGTCAAGTCCTCTCTGGACCTGCGTCAGGATGCGCTGATCATTCTATTCTGTTCTCAGTCCTATTCCAGATGTTGGCAAAGGAGAGAGACAGGAAAAGGAGGAGGAAGATGGCACGGGGCCCGGCTTGCCAGGCACTCCCAAGAACTGCCTCCCTCGCCGGGACATCAGCGTCCTGGAGAAGCTCGTCAAGACCTGCCCCGTGTGGTTGCAGCTGGGTCTGGGCCGGGCGGAGGCGGCCAGGATCCTACATCAGGAGGCGGCCGGGGTGAGTGGGGTGGTCTCTCCACCTCGTGGCCGATGGGCGGGTACAGCTGTTAGGAGCTGCTTGGGCTCCCACGGAAAAGTAGCTGCCCTCTAGACGGCTGCCCGTTTGCTCCCTTCTCAGGTTTATCAGCGTTCCCACCAGAACTCAGGACTGAGGGACTGTTGGGCCGTCTGGTTTCTGCCTTGGAGAGCAGGTGTCCCGCTTCGGAGCCTCGGGCAGCGTGGCTAGCGGGTTGTGTCTAGGTACTTGGGAGTCCCAAGCAGGACTGGCACTTCGAGAACTCAGCCAGGCATCCAGGGACTAGAGAATATCAGAGTCTGAGGGACCCGAGAAATCATTTTACATCCTCCTTATTTTACATGCGAGGATGAGGGGCTGTGTGATAGAATCGGAAGGTTTCTCTTACTTGAGTGGTTTTTTTTTTTTTTGGTTTTGAGTCAGGCTCGGTGAGTTGGGAAATGGCTTAAATTTTCTGAACCTCACTTTTCTCTTTGAAATGGGGCCATTAATAGTATTTTCCTCCCCATGGTACAAACATTACAGAGGAAGATAGATAGGTACATAATAAAATATGAGTCAGAGCTCATCAAATCCCACTCACCTTCCACCACCCCCATACGTGCTACTTCCTTTAAATTTTTTTAATTTGTTTAATTTAAAAAGTGATACATATATGTATTTATTGTAAAAAAAAATATCAAGCTGGACAGAAGTGATAAAGTAAGAAGTAAAGTGTCTGATAAAGGTCTTTGCCACCTACTCTTTTTCCACTTATCTACTACCCAGAAGTCTTTTTTTGTTCGGGGCTTTTTAAAATTAAGGTGAAATTCACATAACATAAAATTAGCTATTTTCAAGTGAGCAATTTAGTATGTTCACAAGGTTGTGCAAGCATCACTTCTATCTAGTTCCAAAATATTTCATCGCCCCAAGATAAAGCCCCATATCCATTAAGCAGTTACTCCCTGTCCCTTCCTCCCCTGGCCCCTGACAGTCACTGGTCTGCATCCAGAAGTCATTTTTGCTGAACGTGTATGTCCTGTTCATCTTGTGTTCAGACCCCCACATCTGTAATAGCTAGCATTCCCCAGAGGGTGAAAATGTTAGTTATTCTGTCATGTCCAACTCTTTGCGACCCCATGGACTGTAACCCACAAGGCTTCTCTGTCCATGGGATTATCCAGGCAAGAATACTGGAGTGGGTTGCCATGCCCTTCTCCAGGAGATCTTCCCAACCCAGGGACTGAACTCAGATCTCCTGCACTGCAGGCAGATTCTTTACCATCTGAGCCTCCAAGAAAGCCATTCACCAAGCACTTGCTATATTCTGGGCACAGTCTAAGTTCTTCAGTGCAGTTTATCCTCACAGCAGCCCTCTGAGATAGATATTACTGTTATGCCCATTTTACAGATAAAGTAACTGAGATAGCATTCAGTTGAGTGTCCCACAGGCTCACACAGTGAGCCAGTGCCCAAGCTGGCATTTGAACCCAGGTGGCTGGGGAGCGCCCATGTACAGGTTTTTTTTGACACGGATAAAATCACATCTTTTAGCCATTTGTGTTGCTCTCACTGTCAGTGTGGTATGTATCGCTACGCTCTGGGGAATAGTCCAAGCTTCTAAACATAGGAGACTCAGATGGATAGTGGACTCATTTACCATGGACTGGGTAAAATCCATCAAGTTGGCAATTGTACCTGAACTTTGGAATTACTGGAACTTATGGAGAAGATGGTGGCAGAGGATAAGATGGTTAGATAGCATCACCGACTCAATGGACATGAAATTGAGCAAAGTCCAGGAGATAGTGAGGACAGGGGAGCCTGGCGTGCTGCAGTCCATGAGTCACAAAGAGTTGGACACGATGTAATGACGAAACAACAACAGCAGCAACAACATGGGGCCTCTAGCAAGGTCCCACAGAGGCCCCTGCCATAGTGAGTGGGGACCAGAGACGCCTGAAGACCAAGCAGAATCCCGAGGGAGCAAAGGGAGGCCACTCCCAGCTATGAGGTAGGTGCCCTGTGGACCTGCCCAGCCCCACCTGAGCCCCAGATCAGCCTGGGAGAGAGTTAGAGGGGTCAGGCAGGGAGACTGTAGTCCTCAGGAAACTAGATCTGTTATTTCGTTCCTCCCCCACCTAAAAGGCTTTCCGTTTTGAACTGACTGAAGGCTTCAGAGCAGATGATGAAACTGCACAGAAAATAAAATTGGAGACTCACGCCAGCAGGTCTTCTGGTCAGCGTTCCCAGGCTGCAGGCCTGGTTGGTTGTCCACTCCCCTGTTAGGATCTGAGGGGAGGCTGCAGCTGAAAAACTGGCCCAAGTGCAAGGTTGCGATGCTGAGGGTGACCATTTTCTGGACCTTTCTGGGTCATCAGGAGAGGTGTGTCCAGGCCTGTGTGTAGATGGAGGTGGAATAGTTGAGGACCTGTCCCAAGGTGAACTGCATTGGGTGTAAGTCATGCCCACTTCATCAAATGGTTCAGTCCTCAAAAAGTTTATGATAAGCCTTACTCAAAACAATAGTCGTGGTCTGTGTGGAGCATGCTTATTAATGTCAGACCCTGGACTATATAGTCCATGGAATTGCAAAGAGTTGGACACAACTGAGCGACTTTCACTTTCACATTCATGCAGCTTACCCCGGGGGCACATGGAGTTGGCTTCTCCTGGGGCACTTTGGGAGTCAGGGTAGAACACACATCTCAAGGTCATTCTACCCAGAGGGCTGAGGGAGCTGGTGTTACTGACCAACTCCTGAGAGCTGCTGGTTCTGGGCAGTGGGGGATGATGGTTCATGTTCTAGCACCTCCCTTCTTCTCTCAGTATGAGAAGCTCTCACTCTGGCCAGAAATAGCTGATGGGCAAAGAGATGCCAAGCTGGCTGCTGGAAGCAGGCCTGGGGTCCACTAAAAAGAGTGGGCAGGACCCAGCAGCATCTGCCACTGGGAGTGAAGTCACCTGTCCAGGGTCACACGGGTAGTGAGTTACAGGACTGAGATGTGACCCCAGTCCTAGCTAAGCCAGAGCACACCCCTCACAAGGGTGAAAATTAGTAGCAGGAAAGAAAAAGAAGTGACTTTCTGAGGTCAACCAATACCAGATGGGTGTGGGTATGAGACATGTACGAAGATGGGTAAACTATGGTCTTAAACACATATGAAGATGGGTAAACTATGATCTTACCACTGTTTTCTCAGAGTGTCTGGGAGGGTGGGTTCTATGCACGGATATGAATGAGATGGCACAGGGAGGAGATGTCTAAGTGCTATGTGAAAGACAGGACAGTGAGGGACCTGGAAGAGGGAGGGAACATGTCCAGGTGGGCTGATCTAGGCAGACTTCCTGGAGGAGGCAGATGCTGAGCCCTGTGTCCAGAGCCTTGAATCTGATCCCAGGAGTGAGACCACAGGCTCCTGTTAAGACCACAGATTGGGAGCTGAAGGAGGTCAGCTGGGCCCTTCCCACTGCTGCCCCCTCACTGCCCCCTCTGTGGCCACAGGGATTGGGGCAGCCCCGAGGACCATAGAACTGGAGGAGACACCTTCTGTTCACTTCTGTGCCCTCACCCCTACTCCTCCCCATGAGCTTCTGTATTTTCAAGCAGAAAGCAAAGCCCTAAGGCTCGTGCTCTGATACAAACTTGTCCTGCTTTTACCCAAAGTTGTTCTTTGCATGATCTTATTTGATTCTCACAGTGACTTCTTTCTGGTTGGTGTTATTGGCATTTCCATTTCCAGGTAAGAGAATGGAGGCACAGAGAAGTTAAGTCACTTGCCTGAGGTCACACAGCTAGAAAGTGCAGAGTCTGCACGGTGTGATCTGCAGGGATGCTGGGAAGGCCCTTTGCTGTATATTATCACTCTCAGGGAACTATCTGAATTTCCATCAGTGCAATAGCTTCATAGTTTTTAAAGATACAGACACTGAATAGCCCCCAGGCTGTGAGAGTTCAGAGGGTCCTCAGAGATCACAGGGCCCCATGCCCTCATGACGCTGATGAGGAACAGTGCTTCATCGTGTCTGGGGCCAGTGGTCGGGAGACTGGAGATCCTGCCCCTTTGTCCCAGTTATCTGTATGACCTTGACCACATTCCCCCACCCCCACCCCCGCCCAATCCCTCCCCATCTCCTGCAGCCTGCTTCTCTGATAAGGTGCTGGGAACATATTGGCCCATTTTTGATTTGCATGGACCCAGAGCAAGGCAGTCAAAAGCCACCTTTATTCATTCTACACCCAAAGGGTGGGGTGTTTTTTCTTTTAGTTTTGTTTTAGAAGTCTTCCGTTTACAAAGAAGTTACCAAGATAGTTCAGAGAGTTCCTTTATGTACTTCTCACCCAGTTTCTCCCACTGTTAACATCTAACAATAGTCTGGTACATTTGTCACAGTTAATGAACCAATATTGCTACGTTTTTACCTAATGTCATTTTGTGTTTGGGGATCCCCTCCAGGGCACCACATCACATATACTCACAAGTCTCCTTAGGCTCCTCTTGGCTCAGACTTTGTTTTTGACTATCTTGACAGCTTTGAGGAGTACTGGTCAGGCATTTTGTAGAATGTCCCTTACCCGTGATTTGTCTGATGGTTAGACGGGGGTACGGGTTTGAGGGAGGAAGATCCCAGAGCCAAAGTGCCATTCTCATCCCACTGTGACTAAGGTACGTATTATCAACATGACATCATTGTGGATGTTGACCTTGGTCACCTGTCAGGGTCCACTGTGAAGTTACTCCTTCCCCTCCTGCTTCCATACCGTCCTCTTTGGAAGGAAGAGTGGGGACTTGTGCTCCTCCTCCCTGAGAGTTGAGCATCTGTGTAAATTACTTGAAATTCTTCTGCACAAAGGATTTGTCTCTTCTCCTCCATTTATTTATTTATTCAATCACTTACTTTATCAGTATGGACTCACAGATATTTATTTTATGCTTTGAGTTATAATTCAGTGTTGTCATTGTTGTTTAGTTGCTAAGTCATGTCCATCTCTTTTGCAA